CCCCCCCCCCACCCCCCCACCCCACCCACACACAAAAAAAAAAGTTCTTCCCAAAATGGGAATTGATATCTTTAGAGAAAGGATAACTTTCCATATTATTGCCTTAGATTTTTGTCAATAGAAATTTATACAAATCATGATTTCAATGAGTAAATTGTAACATTGGTAGGTTTACATAATGAAAGAGGTTGTGCTCTGGGATAGGGATCAGATGCATATAGATCTGCTGTGGGACATTATTTCGATTTAGGAAGATAAAAAGTAGAACGAAGGATATAAATGTTGAAATTGCACTCATCATTAACAAATATTGGTCTCATGCCCGAACAACTCACATGTCAAACTTGCTGCAATGCACGTGACATTACTTGAGTTTTTATCATCCATCTCTCCTCTCCAAAAATTGGAAAGTACAACCTTATCTCTAGAACTGCAAATAAATAAAATTAAATAAATAACGAATACAACCAAACAATAAATCCGAGTTATACTAACTAAAAGTTTAAAAAAAAGTACGAGTCCTTGAAAATAGAATCCTAAGTGACTAATCCCAATTGCGTGAATAATCTTCCGTTTTGTCTTGCATCATTTTGGCTGTTCAAAAATTTTCCCCAGCTGAAGCTCCTGGAGTCTAGTTTTTATGCATCAGGACTGGAATAGAATGAGCAATTCAGATCAGAATAAACGTAATCAGTCTTTTATCAGTTTTTATGCATCATTTTTCAATCTTTCAAACAAAATGTCATCCATTCTTGCTTGAACTCCACCAGGGGATGTAATATCCCGCAGCAATTCCTTCACACTTATGTTCATATCAAGTAAGTTTTGGATGTGATCAAATTTCTCTAGTGAGGATGGAGATGGTTCTGATATCTCCACTAATTGAACCTGGACTCAAAATCAGGAAGGGAAAAAAAAACAGAATGAAAGAGAATTAATTGTTTCATGTCTTCCATTTCAATGCAACGGATATATATGTAGTTTATCATTATCTGAGATATTGATATACCAAAGAGAGACTCACCGGTGGTTGTGATATATTAGCTTTTTTGCTTTGCAATGGCCACGGCTCGAGAAAGTCCAGCAATAGCATCAACTAGACCATTGGAAACTGCATCATTGCCACTCCACAACTTTCCTTGAGCAACCTCCTCCATTTGATCTATCTGGCGAAAGAACAAAATTCTATCATCACATAAATGAACATGAACTACAGAGAAATTTTTATAATATGCTTACAGTCATGGATCTTGAATACGCCGCTTTGTCTCGGAATTTTTTGTATGCATTTTGTGCATATTTCTCAGGTCTGCTTCGTGGGGCCTGCAAGAACGGATATTTCAGCAAATTTCAAACGTCAAAAGAAAGTAAAGAAACATGAGTAACTTCCTACCATAAACTGGCAAAATACGTGACTTATTGACAAATATTATGGAAGCAAAGGATTTGTTCATAATCACTTCTACACCACCCCCACCCATTACAAAAAAAAAACGTTTTAAGCTAAATAATTATAAATCACAGCCTTGTTCCTATGGGAATCGGACATTTTCTACAAGTATACATGCAATCCTTTTTTATCCAGATTACAGCAATAAGTAGGTCTCTCATAAAAATGGAACAGGTACCTAAATGAACGCTGACTAGCAGAGAGAAACTCAGTATATCTGCCTCTTGATATAATCTCCTTGTTAAACCCGATCCTTTCATACAGCTTACCTAGATTGAATTTCCCTGCAAGTAAACGAGTGTTCAGAATGTACAGCTTGAGAAGCACAATAACCAGAGGAATAAAGACATGACCAATCACTTAACAGACTTGGAATTCATCTAAAACGCAATGACCTATCGTTTCCTCGTACACCTTCCTTTCTTCGTCTTTCTCTTCTTCTCACTTCTTATGCATCATCGGTAGCAGACGTATGATAAGGATAATCCCAGTTCCCTCTCCATCTCCAATTTATGCATCATTGGTAGGATATATTATGAACTTTGGGGGAGTTGCAGTAAACCCCCATCAGCTTTTTTTTATTACACTAAACACCCATGAACCTTAGAGCTGTTGCACATGACCCCCATGAACTGTTTTATTTTACTAAATTTCACATGAAAATTTCTCATTTAATCTCCAAATTAGCACCATCGATTCTAACATCTCATGGTGCAAGTATGTGCCAAAAAAAATATAAATAACTCCTCAGCCCTAAAAATTACCTATTTTTCCTTTTTAATGAAAGAGTATTTTTCCCGAAATATGAAGGAACCTTTTTTCCCCTCTTGTGCTTGCTCGTGACACATTAGGGTTGATGGTGTGGGATTAAAAGACAAATTTTCAGGTAAGATTTAGCAAAATAAAACAGTGGAATCGGGTTATGTTAATAACTCCTAAAGTTCAGGGAGAAAAAGTTGATGGAGATTTACTGCCACTCCCCAAGAGTTCATGGGGAGTTCTGTAATTAACTCTTTTATAAGCAAACAGGTTCTGTGTATGTCTGTTTCTTCCTATATTTTTGTGTCATTTTCTATTGTAAGTGTAGTTATTAAAGACCATGAGACTAAGTCTTAGATGTATCAAACTATTTGTCTATTCCCATTATCAAATGTGATATCTAACATCAGAAGCTCTACCATGCCCGTGGAGAGCTCATTTGAAGATTTAGTTCTATACAAACAAGATCAATTCACTAAGTTCACCTGTAACTACTCCAATCGAACCAGTCAATGTCAGCTTCTCAGCAACAATAGTTTGTGCTGCCATGGCCATGTAGTATCCTCCACTTGCAGCAGCATCATACATGGATGCAATCACAGGTTTAGAGGCAGAAAGGCGTCTGACCACTCTCCACATTCTGAATTGGGGGGGAAAAGTACACCAGATATCAAAAATGGTTAACAGATAACTAATGCATGCAAGCATCTATGATATACAACAACCAAGAGAGAAAAATAAGCCGTTCTCGTGATTGATGGTATATCATTGAGGTGAGCAAAAAGGAAAATTCTGGCACTAGAAACAGTAAACAAGTGACTCAGATCACATTTTTTTAAGTTGCAGCCATGACAGTCATGAGACAGCCACTTGGAAAAGAAAAGTGCACAGAGCATACATGAAAATAAAAGGGTCTATCATTCTATGTAGAACAAGACCAGACTTCACTATAGTTGATAGCATATCATTGAGGCCAGCAAAAAAGAAAATTCTGGCACGAGAAACAGTAAGAAGTGACACTCTATCACATTTTCCCCAATTGAAGCCATGGCAGTCATGAGACAGCCTTGGAAAAGAAAAGTGCAGAGCATACATTAACGTACAAGGGCCTACCGTTCTATGTAGAACAACCAGACCATACTTGTGGTCCTGTGGAGGACTACAAGGAAGAAAAGTGCTCAGATCAATTTTACAAAGCCAGAGTATCAAAAGAAAATTTAAGCAATTGAGGAATTAGATGTAATTATGGTCTGGTTGTTCAGTGATACGAGCGAGCAAAAGGGATAGGGAAGAGAAGACCATTCGACCACCTAAACCTTCTCATCTCTCTCTCTCTCTCTGTCTCTCTCTCTCTCTATATTAATATATTATATATATTATATATATATATATTATATATATATATTAAACCTGTAAGTTGAAATAAGTTTTAATACTATTATATATATATATATATATATATATATATATATATATATTATAATATATATATATATAATATTCATACATACATACATAAATAAATTACATACATACGAGTAGCGCCAACTCAATGAAAAAAAATGCAAATAAAGTGGCCTTTAATATAGTCTCCTGGTAGATAAGCATTATGGTATAAATGAATGTCAAGATCCAGTACAAGGACTTAGACCAAACATTGGAAAAATCAATTTACCAACAACACCTGATATGACTACTGTGTAATGTAGTTATGTTCACAGGCATGGTGGCCATCCCCTGCCTGATTCAATGCGTCCTTTTTTGGGGGTGGGGGGGGGGGAAGGAGAAGAGGAGGGGCGAACCGGAATTAGGCATATCAACACATCGTGAATAACAAGAAGAAAATTATATTAGAGTACGATGATGTTATATTCATATGTAGGTATATATATGAAACATCCTCGAGCGATTCAAATTAAAAATTAATTTTAAAATTATTGTCTTTGTTGACAAATCAGATAAAATAGATAAATGCAATACAATTACAGATCAAATAGAACCTATGAATGAGTCATTCGTTTATTTGACTGTTACATCCATAATACATACACGCACAGACTCGCACGCGCACACACATAGGCACTCTCACGCGCACAGATATGAGTGCACGAGTGTATCTATTACGCTCGGGCCCGCGAACCCGTGGGCGCAATATTAGTCGTGGGACCCACTGAGTGCTAAAAAAGTGCTAGCACTAGTTGCAGCTGAGCATTTTGCTTCACTTTATACACCAATTAAACCATGGCCCACTTCCGATGTGGAACTATTTTGAAGTGGGAGTATTGTCATGCCGTGACAAGAACATCGCCTGTTTAAGGAGGAGTGATTATAATACCCCCACTTCAAAGTAGTCCTACATCGGAAGTGGGCAATGGTTTAGATTGGTTTATATAGTGAAGTCAAAAGGCTCAAGGGCAACTAGCACTCGCACTTTTTGGCAGACCATCGAGCCGAACAACAAGTTGCACTCAGTGGGTCTCACGACTAATACTGCGCCAAGGGTCTCCTGGGCTCAAGGTGTGACAATATCTATACTAATAACCTAAAGATTCTTATTAACATTTCTAACAACTTTCTTGTTATAGCTTTTGCAAGCATAGAAGCACGGGTTAACTCTATTATAAATAGTAGTTATTTTTGCATTATAAGTACAATAGCATGTCGTATATTGGTAAACTATTTTAGGTTTAATTGTGGGAATTTTAGATTAGGTATTGCAAAATCATGTCTCTTTTAAATGTTGTGACGACTGCATATATCACTTATTTAAATTTGTGTTGTATTTGTAAAGAGCCCTGATTGTATTTGTAAAGAGCCCTGATGGAGATGTTTTTGTCTTGACAGCTTGTCATGAATGAGTCTTATTTATTAGCTTTAAAATGTAATACTTTTTTTTATTGTGTTATATGGATGTTTGCTTCATCTACTTAACATCCTCTTATTTTTTAATAAGATGTATCTTTGGGTTGATTTATATTATTGATGCAATTTATGATGACATGCATATTTCCCCTACAAATTAGAGAAATATATAAGGTAAATTTTATGTTTAGTGGCTTTTAATAAGAATTTAAGTAATGAAATATGTTACCTTCATATTTAAAGATCTTAAAATCTGATAGTGCTATTATATGCTTATTTTTAATTATGTCTTTAAGAATTGATCCTTCGTTAGTTGTCATCTTCCACAAATAAAGTTACACGCGGAGTCATGCCACTGTATAGAAAAAAGAAAAAGGTTGATTTTATTTTTTTACTTACGCTATTGTAAATAAGTATTATGAGTATACCTTTTATCCATTATAGTGATTTCCCTCCCCTTATCTAGCTTGTTATATCTTACAACATAGTTAATCAATGGCTTTCCTTTAGTTTATATAGCAAAATTATTTGTATGTAGTTTTATATTAAATTTATGATTCCTTTAGTATTTGAAGAATAAAGTATAAAAATTTATATTACTTACTAATTTTTTTTGTATCTTTCACAGAGAATGCTTCTTTGATTGTGATAAAGTTGTTCAATATGATATTTAAAGAACTTAAGTGGTGCTTTTCTGATAGATATACCTTTTATCAATGTCAATTCAAAGTGATTCATAAATGTTTCTGAATTTTGGGTTTATTTCCTTTACTCATCCATTTAAAATGATTTTTTTAAAGGATATCTCTTAACTTTCTGATAGTTTCTCCATACATAGCCCTTGTATTTTTTTACCCAAATACTATTGACATAAGAGATCAATATTTATACATTATAATCTTTTATCAGTTTTATGTAATTTAGTCTTCTATCAATTGATATTTTCAGTAAAATTATATGAAATTTCTTTAATTTATACATTGGCATTAATTTTTAATCTATCATATATTTTCAAAGTTTTACTTCTTAACTAGATATTTTAATCTACTGTTATTGTGATTTTTACCAGCATCAACTTTGACTACTTTTAGATGCTAAAAAGAGATAGTAAACTTTAAATTGGAAGTTAATTTTATACATCTTAATGAAACAATATCAAATAATTATTCTTCTTTGCCAAGATTAGAAATTTTAGCATTTTTGTGATTTTAAACTTTTGATCGTGTGTTTTATAATTTTTGAATCTTTGATAGTATTTTTTAAAAAATTTAAATTTTAAGTTGAGTGTTTGTAATTTTTATATTTCATGTGTTAGTGGTTAGTTTTTAAATATTAGAATATTTCTTGCAACTCTAAAATTTTAAGGGTATTTTTTATAATTATTAAAACTTTGGATTATTTTTTACAAAATTTAAATTTTTAACGGTCTGCTAAAAATTTCCAAATAAGATGTGTGATGGATATAAGTTTTGAAATTTCAGGTTATAAGTTTTAAAATTTCAAGATTTTCTGCGATTTTTAACTTCAGAGGGAGTTTTTGTAATTTTTCTAACTTTAAGGTTATTTTTTGTAAATATTAAATTTTCAAGTGTATGATCGTAATCTCTTAAATCTATCTATGTGTTTGTAAGTTTTAAAATTTTAGAATTTTAGAGTGTTTTTGTAAATTGAACTTTTGAGGCCGTTCTTATAATGTTTGAAATATTAAAGGTATTAATTGTAACTTTTAAATTCTTTAAGGGTTGTTCTTAATTTGAGATTTTATTTTTATTGTCTTAAGTTTTAAAAAGTCAGGGTGTTTTATGTAATTCTAAAATTTTGAGGGAATTGTGTAGTTTTTAAAATATTTTGGGTTTTATGTAATACTTCATATATTATAATATGTTAGCTACGTATGACTCCTTAATCTTATTTTTTTTTAATTATTGAGCTATAAGTAATTTACATGGGATTAGTATAAGATATAATTAATATTAGGATAGATTAAGATTTAAATAAAATATTTAAAATAGTGTTTTATTAATCTTATTTTTTTTAAATTGTTGTGCTATAGGTAGTTCACGTTGGATTAGTATAAGATATAATTAGGATGAGGATAAATTAAGATTCATATGAAATATTAAAAATAGTGAATGGTAATATTGACTATAGAAAGTTTTTACTTAACTCGTGCTTTTAAAGGGAGTATGATATATGTATGTATATATCATACTCCCTTTAAAAGTACGAGTTTGAGAAAATCTTTCGGTAGATAAAAATACCATTGGAATTCAAATACTATTAAGTAAGAGTAAGTTGATAACTTGATAAATTTTTATTGGATACACATAGTATGAAGATAAGGATACAATTTAAATTAAAATATAAACCTTAATGAAGTTATTAAATGCCAAATATTTACAAATGTATACAAGATGAAGGGCGTATGTGCAAAAACCAAATAAATTAATGAGACAAATAATGTCTGTCCCAAAAGTCGAACCTAAGAACAGCGCAGACCTACAAATATACATAATGCGGAGGGGGTATTTACAAAATCCATCAAACAAATTATAAAGACAAAACCATTCTCAAAATTATAAAAAAAGAAAAATTAAAACAAACGGTTGCGATCTGAGGACAAAACATGATGATCTCTCACCGACTAAATTTTAAGTAGTTCATGATACTGCATAATTAGTTTTAAAGTTTAATTATACTATTATTATTTAAATAGATCTTTGTTTACAATTGTTATTCTCTAAAATACAACATCACATACCAATATACATCATCCAAGAAATTATAATAATTTTCATAGCACTTTCATATCCTTCTACAGATATGTGCCTTTGTTATTTTCTTCTTATCAGATTAGATTAGATTATTTTAAAATAATTAATTATATTGTATATTTGCTCTTTTTTCACATCAAGAAATAGCAACGATTTTCACAGCAGTTTCATCTGTTTTCTTCTTATTAGATTAGATTAGATAATTTTAAAGGGATTAATTATATTATATGTTGATCTTTTTTTTAAGATCTGAAATGATAATAATTTTCATAGCACTTTTATCTCTTTCAACAGGTATGTGTCTTTGTTATTTTTTTCTTATTAGAATAGATTATTAGATTAGATTAGATTAGATTAGATTAGATTTTTTTAAAAATTATGAATTATGAAATTGCAATAATTTTCACATCACTTTTATCTATTTTCTTCTTATTAGATTAAATTAGATTATTTTAAAGCAATTACTTATATTGTATGTTTGATCTTTTTTTGCAGATCATAAAGTTTAATTATACTATTATTATTTAAATAATATTGTTTATACAAAAGTCAAAGAGAATCTCACATGTATCTTAGATCTTAATGTTAATTGTAATACTTACATATGGGTGTTGGTTAAAATAAATTTCATATATGAACTTAACTTATATGATCCTACTTTAACCGGATTAGATAATTTAATTTTTTTAACATCCAAACTCTTCCATAAAACTAAAAGAGAGTAGCAATATTATAGCTATATATATCCATAGGACAACAGATATCTTGAAAATGAATGAAGAACACCACACAAACAAAAACCATATTAATTACCCACACACAACCACTGTTTTCAAAACAATCATTCTCTATTTTCATCTATAATATATTCACATACCCAAATTAAGCTGCTAGATTTGCCCCCTCACCAACTACACCATTGATCAACCCTCCTTTTTTCTTTGTACTTAAATTATATAACATTCATTGTGATGAGGACTCAAGTCCTATGCTTGCCTTGAATGCCCAATAAAAAAATAATGTACTAGGCCTTGCAGTTAGTTAATAATGAGATCCTGTCATTATAAACAAATTAAGTAAAAATTAATAATTCTTAAGAATGTACTATATTCCCCTAGTTTCCACTGCAAACTTGTTAGTTGTTTATTCTCGGGCCCAAGAGATTTTAAAAATTAATCTTGAGGATTGCTTGCATTAAAACAGTTATGTTAGAGGGCCTATGCAGTCTGTTTTATAGTTTAAGACATTTTGTTTCTGATGCACATCAATTATTAGTAGTATAATTTGATTAATCCAAGTATATCATAATATATTTCTAGACTATTGTCTTGTCTTCTGCTCTTTATTATGTACCAACCTGATATCACAATTGATGATGAAGACACTAGTGTAGATTACCTAGGAAAAAGATAAAGGTGGAGAAAGATTAATCTCGGCTCAATTAAATATGAAAAAAGGAATAAAAGATAATATTTTTTGAATAATTTATGGTAAAGCTTAATTTTTTGAGTAAAATTAGGAATCTTTAGAAGAGATTTTCATTCAAAATTTTTAATATGCTTATGTGAATGATTTTTTCATATAAAATTATACTAGAGTTACTATTAATCTTTAGTATTTATTTTTTTATTTTAAGTTTATCAATAATTAAGATGTCTTGTAATTTTGTGAAAAGTATGTGCTCTGTGTTGAGCTTATACAAACCATATTAATATTAAGTATTTGGTTATATTTTTATTCACATCAAGAATATATTATTGTATTTTTTTTCAAACTTAACGCTATATTTAATGACAAAAATAAACAAATTGGAGATCGATGATTTGATCCAATAAGCAAATATGTTACATGAAGTTTCATATATGAAGTTTGATATATACAATTTTAAAAAATAATGTTGTATATGCAAGTATATAAAAATATATTGATCCAAGTTTTACACACAAATCTATTTCATAAATTTTTTTAAAATGTTTAAATAAAAATTATGGCAAATGTGATAATCCATCTTTATTAGTTTCAACTCAAAATGAATCTGACTTATTTTATAGTAAGAAAATAAATAAAAAAGTAAATAATTTTAATATTTAACCACGTGCATTGCACGTACACAAGAACTAGTATATATATATGTGTGTGTGTGTGTGTGTGTGTGTGTGTGTGTATATATATATATATATATATATATATATATATATATATATATATATATATATATATATATATATATATATATATATATACACACACACTGTGAGATTAATGGGTATCCTTGTCATAGGAGGAGATTTCCTCCTTGACGCCTCTAAAATCACATGATTGAGCGACATTGTGGATGATCCGCTCCGTTGAACTTAATCTACATATTCTAAAACCCCAACACACCAAGTTTGGGGTAAACCCGTCGTCGTTTGACCCTTCATCCACTCGTATCAATTTTAACGGTTTTGAATGAATAGAACTTTTCACATGGCTCGATGGAGGGTCAAACGATAACGGATTCACTCCAAACTTGGTGTGTTGGGGTTTTAAAATATGTAGATCAAGTTCAACGGAGCGGATCATCCATAATGTCGCTCAATCATGTGATTTTAGAGGCGTCAAGGAGGAAATCCCCTCCTATGACAAGGATACCCATTAATCTCATATATATATATATATTATATATATATATTACAATACAATATGTATGTATATATATATATTACTATATATAGGCTACATATATACATATATATATATATATATATATAATATTATATATATATATAATATATATATATATATATATATGTCAGCGTCCCGGGCCACGACCGCGTTGCACGTGCAAGCCGTGGGACCTACCGAGAGCAACTTGATGTTGGCTTAAATCTACCGTTAAAATGCTAGCACTAGTTGTTCTTGGACCTTGGGCTTTTCTCTATTTAAACCACTAACATTTCTTCACACTAGTCCATGTGGGACTAAAGTTAGGGTGTCACAATTATCTCACATTACAAAGACGACGTCTTTATCGTCACGACATGACAATTGGCGTATCTCAGTATCACTGCTAGGCGATGTGGACTTTAGAGGTGGCTCATACCGCATCCACACGGTGTAGCACTTAGGCCCGTATAGCACTTAACTTCATACTTCCGGCTGGTAACTGCTCTGATACTATTTGTCATGTCCCGGGCCTACAGGCAAGCTGTGGGACCCACCGAGAGCAACTCGATATTGGTTTAAATCCACCGCCAAAATGCTAGCACTAGTTGTACTTGGACCTTGAGCTTTTTTCTATTTAAACCACTAATATTTTTTCACACTAGTCCATGTGGGACTAAAGTGGGGGTGTCACAATATATATGTATATGTGTGTGTGTACGTATTTGTGTGTGTGTGTATCTGTGTCTGTGTGTATACATATGTTTGTATGTATATGTATATATGTATATACATATGTTTGTATGTATATGTATATGTATATGTATATGTATCTCTCTTTCTAT